CTGGCTTGGCCAGCCTGCTCCCGCCCCCTTTCCTCCTACCTCTCTGGCAATTGCCCCATCTTGAGGGCTCCTAACCCTCCTTCACCTCCCCACCCCACCCCCACCCCGATTCTGAAGATCTGCTCCCTTCCCCAAGACTCCAATGTCACTTCCTGGGGGCTTGTCTTCCCACCTCTTAGCCCTCTACCCCTGCACACCCTCTGCTGTGCCCAGTCCTCATGGGCAGCCCCTTCCCCCATCTCCATGCCCAATGCCTCTGCCCAGTGAGGGTCCCTTTGTGTCTCACCCTGCACATTGCTCTTGGCCTTCGTCTCCCCTGTCTGTCCTTAGTTCTGGGCATCCAGAAGGGTCTTAGCCCACCCTGTCTGGCTTTGGCCTTTGGTCAGCCTGCAAGATGGAGACCTGCCCTCTTTGGCCTGTCCTGCTGCTTCTCCAGTCGCATCACCTCCCCTTCCCACACTCTGCCCTCCAGTAGCTCACCTGCTTTGTCCATCATCACACATTCCCACATCTTTGCCTTTGCCATGGTCTTTCCACCTGGGAGCCCTCAACCCCCACCCCCCACATAACACCTACTCATCCAAGAGCCAGCTCAGGTCATCGCCACCTCCAGGAAGCAGAGCCTCCTCTAACCCCCTCTGTTATAGATACTTCCTACCATCTCTCAGTGTAGAGAGAAGACGACTGCAGGCAGGGAAATTCTGGGCTCAACTGTGCTCCATGGCACAGACCTGGCACTCAGTGGCACTCTTTAAGTGTTGATCCTGTTTATTGTGCTACTTCTGATGTAGGCACTATAACTTAATCTCTGAAACCTTGAGAATGCTATTACCAGTCTCAGTTTCCTCATCTGCACACTGAGGGCATACGGGTCCTTCTGCTCAACATGGTTGGTAGTGGCCACAGGTATATTTGAAAGCCCCCACTTGGTAATGGGCCTTAGATTCTGCCACAGAGCTTCTTATTTGGGAGGGAGGGAGTTAAGCATTGTCCTCTTCAGGCTCTTGTAAGAGATAATCCCTTCCCTTCAACCTCATTGGAAACTGGGCTTTGGAGCCTGTAAAATGGGTGTAATCCCATGAACATACTTTTTGTACCCAGTGCCCCAGGGCTATTATAAGAATAATTTTAAAAAAAAATCATTGATGGTGCACACCTGTAATCCCAGTGACTCTGGAAGCTGAGGCAGGAGGATCTCAAGTTCAAAGCCAGCCTCAGCAACTTAGCAAGGCCCTAAGCAACTCAGCAAGACCCTGTCTTTAAATAAAATATTTTAAAAGGCTGGGGATGTGGCTCAGTGGTTAAGTGCCACCGGGTTCAATCCCTGGTACCAAAAAAAAAAAAAAAAAAATCATTCAAAAGGGCTCATTCAAAAGGGAGGCACCTAGGAGCCAGCTCATCTCATGTCCCATCACTCTAGAGTAACCTTGAAGGAAGTGATTTTCCCATCCCACATGAGGACAGCAGGCTCAGAGGACAGCTGCCACCTTTTCAGAGCCAAAGAAGTGATATCAGTGTGGCAAAGGCTGCTAGCACTCAGTGGCTACTGACCAGCTTAAATTGGGGCCTCTGCCATTTCTCCTCTCAGCAAGCTCTGAGGGTTGGGGTCCTGGTCATGGGGGTGTCAGTGGGTAAGGTAGGTGCAGTGGGTGCTCCAGGATCAGGCATGATGGCTTTGGATTTTAGGGTCATTAACCTTGCCTCAGCCTCCCAAGCAGCTGGGATTACAGGTGTGTGCCACCGCTCCCAGCTCCCTCATGTTCGTTTCATTTCACAATGTGCCAGCCCAGAGAGAAGTCAGCCGCACCCCCAGCAGACTGACATCTGGGGAAGAAAGGGAGCAGACGGCTCAGTGGGCTGGACCACAGGGAGAATCTGGGACATGGTGTCCTGTGTGATCTCAAGGCTAAGCTGTGACGCAGAGCATGGCCCTGAAGGCCAACCTGGCTCCAGGCTGTAGGGAGAGGTCAGGGCTGCCCTGTGGGCTGTGGCCTCCCAACTCAGCTGGGTTGCCCAAGATCCTCTGTTCAGCTGAGGAGGATGGGCCAGGCAAAGTAGTGAGCCAAGGCCAAGGGGCCACTCTCCAGCAGGCTCCATCTGGCTGAGGGGGAGCTCCCCCCGCCAGAAGCCCAGCTCTTACTCTGTCACTTCCTTTCTTGCTCTGGGTCTCAACTTTCTTCATCTGTCAAAGGGGTGTTAATTATTACAGAGCTCTGCTTAACCAACCCCCCACCCCCACCCCAGACTGGAGTTGGAGAACAGTGGGCTCTTAGAGAGGACACTTCCCTGAATGAATCAGACTCAAGGGGTGGGCCAAGAGGCTGGCAGCCCTTCCTCCCGGGACTCTGCCATCCGTACACAACACACACACCAAGTTCTGGATGGGAACATCTCAATTTCCTTCATGCTCATTTTTTTTTTTTTTTTTTTTTTTTTTTTTGATACGGGGGATTGAATTCGGGGGCACTTAACCATTGAGGCATGTCCTCACTCCTTTTTTTTCATATTTATTTTTTAGTTGTAGTTGGACACAATACCTTTATTTTATTTATTTATTTTTATGTGGTGCTGAGGATCGAACCCAAGGCCTCGCACGTGCGAGGTGAGAGCTCTACCGTTGAGCCACAGCCCCAGCACCCCAAAAAATACTTTTTGTATTTTATCTAGAGACAGGATCTCATTGAGTTGCTCAAGACCTCACTAGGTTGCTGAGGCGGGCTTTGAACTCAGTATCCTCCTGCCTCAGCCTCCCAAGCAGCTCGGATTATAGGTGTGTGCCACCGCTCCCAGCTCCCTCATGTTCTTTTCATTTCACAACAGAGAATAGCCATCTCTGTGTTGGCACAATTAATTTTAGGCCATTCTTTGTGATTACTGCCTATAGAATAGAAGCTAAGCAGACCTAAGCTGAACTGCAATGAGCATCCTTGAACAGCGTGTGTGTGTGTGTGTGTGTGTGTGTGTGAAGGAGAAAACCCTAAAATCCAAGAAACCTATTTGGATGCTGTTGTAATTGTCCAGAGCAGACATGATAAGAGGTTGGACCAGACCTGGGAAAGAATGGAGGAGAGCGATTTCTTTTGCTGAAATGTGGTGGGCCTTCTCCAGCCAGTGTACTGGGCCTCCAAACCCCTGTCAGTCATGAGCTGCCATAAACTGAAGACTTAGATCTCAGCAGAGGAGTGGGCACAGGAGGATGGGGAGCAAGGGGGAAGCAAGGGTCTGACTAAACATCCATAAAACCAAAAGGGGATGGGATAAGAACAGTACCTCCAAATGAGAGATGGCTGGACAGGGACCAAGCCAGGGGCTTCACACACCAACTCCAAGGCTCACAGCAAACCCAGGTATCTCTCATATGAGGACTCTCAAGCTCAGGAAGTTCTGAGCTACACAATCTGTCAGTAGCCATATTGGGCTTCCAATCTGGACCTGGCCACAAATTTTGTCTGTGTGCAGTCCCTGGGCTGAACATCCGGGTTAACATGCTGACTGGGGACACCAGATGGGCAGATCTAGAGAAGCCAAGACCTGGAATACAGCAGGAGCAGGTGCTAGGGAGATAGACCCAGCACTCATAACAGTTAGAGGGAGTCCAGCCAGAAAGCTAGACAGTAGCAGGTGACAAGTGGTGTCTGATGATCCCCTGTGTCTGAGGACTCCTCCCCCAGAAGACAGTGGCCTCCAGCAGCAGGTGGAAGGCAATGGCTGGGAAGCCAGGCCATATCCCCAAGCAGCAGGGGGCCCAGGTGGGAGTTGGGGAAAATCTGCTTGCTGGGGGTTTGGGAGCCTGCAGGCCCATAAGCTCCCACCCCATGGGCAAGGCCTCCTATAGCTTCAGGAAGCTCACAGGCCACCAGGGCTCAGCAAACTTCCCTTCCCAACCCAGTTCTACTTCCTCTATCTGGACACTTCTGATTTTATGCATTTAGATTTTGTGCTGCTTAGGTTTAAGAATCTCCATAGTTTTTAAAATAAATAATAGTAAGTAAGCAATTTCTGATTATAAAGCAAATATATACAAATATATCTTATTAATTTTTCATGTGCATATTTGGGCAGACATGAAAGTATTTCCAAATTGGGATCAGAAAAATAATTCTTGTTTATAGCTTGATTTTATCACTTCTCATTATAGCGGGAGGTATTCATGGGTGGGAGCCTCATGGCAGGGTTGCACAGTGCTTAAGAGCAGACTCAAGGGCCAACAGGCCTGGATTTCAGATGCTGGCTCAGCCATACGTTCGTTTTATCACTGAGCAGGTTATTTACCTTTCTGAGCCTTGATTTTCTCACTGGTAACAGTATGCCTCATAGGCTTACATGAGGGAGGCCACATAAAACACTTAGAAGGAGACCTAGAACATAGTAGATGCTCAACAAACCTCAGATATGAGGGTTATTGTTATTTCTGACCTCTTAACTGTGACTGCTTCCTGGCCTCACATCTTGTAGCTGGATTTTGACCTTGACCCTGACCTCATCTGAGTCTTCCAGTCCTGCCTTGTGTCCCTTCCTGAATGCTAGGCTAGTTGGGGAGCTGGTGTCAGGGTTAGTTCCGAAGTAGCACTTAGTGTGATTTCTAAGAGGCTCTTCCCTGGGGTCAGCAATATAAGGGGAAAGGAAGAGGGAGGAGGCAAAGGAGTGGTTATTATTTGGCCAGACTCTGGAAACATGACCCTGATCCTTTCAAGTCTGCTGCCCATTGGCTTTCTCATCTGGTGTCTGAGCCTTGGGTTTCCCCCTGAGCTGGCATCACAGGAATTGATGTGGCCCCTGGGAAAGCACATTAGTGCAGCATCCCTAATGCAGCCAGAAAGGATAGGGAGCAAGTCATAACCAGCCCCCAAGGGAGATGCTAAAAACTTGGAGTCACAGGTTGGGGCTCATGTGGCTCATGGGCCTTGAAATTGCCCCACTGACTCCCAAATAAAGGCATATATGTGGGGTGGAAGCTTCTGTGGGGCCGGAGACTCAGATCTAGACTCTGGCATCCACAGGAGATGAACAACTACCAGCGGGCCATGCAGAAGATGGCAGAGGACATCCTGTTACTGCGCAAACAGGCCAGCAACTTAGAGTGGGAGAACCGGAGGCTGAGAAGCCACCTGACCCAACAGGAAGTAGAAGAGGGGCAGACCAAAGATGAAGCCTCAGACCTGGGTGAGGATGTGCAGGCCACTAAAGGCATCCAGAATCCTGTCTGGGCCAAGGCTCTGGATTGGAGATAGGGTGGTGGGAAGTTTTTCCCAGATACGCATGCAGCTGGACTTGAGCTAGCAAGACTGCCCCGCACACGCCACCCACAGACACTCAAAGGGTCCCTGCCCAGCTGGTCTTCTCGGGGGGTGGGAGATGGAGTATCCAGTCTGGTTGCAAGCCCCCAATTATGCCGATCTGAGCTAAGAGAGGCTCCACCCTGAGCCAGCTCCCTGCCCGTCCCAGCAATGTCTGTGAAGGAGAAGCTGCTGCTGAAGGAGCTGGACATGAGGAAGCTGAGGGACAAAGTGCAGCATCTGCAGAACGAGCTGATCCGGGTGAGCTTAGGCTTTCGGAGCAGAGCGGGAGGGAGTTGGGTGGCAGCATCAGGAGACGTGTCCTGAGCAGAAGATGCGTTGAGGGAAGAATGACCAGTCCACAGAGGATTCAGCAGGGGGCTGGGTGGACCCCCTCTGCCAAGAGTGACTCCCAGGTACCCATTCTCCCCCTTCCCTCCCTACACAGAAAAATGATAGAGAGAAGGAGTTGCTCCTCCTGTGCCAGGCTCAGAATCTCCAGGACGCGAAGCTGAGGCGGTACCAGGACAAGCTGATAAAGATGAAGGCGCTGGAAGAGACTGTGAGGCACCAGGAGAAGGCAGGTGCAGGGGTTGCCAGCTGAGGGCCTTCAGATGGGAAAGTGTGGCACCCCCAGGCTAGCCCAGCCTCCGTGCTCTGCCTGCCAGGTGATCCAGAAGATGGAGCAGGTACTAGAGGACAGGCTACGGGACAGAAAAGAAACCCCACCACCCAACAAGCTGCAGAAGAAACCCAACCCTGGTAGGTCTGCACCCCTAAGTGGATGTGAGTGAATTGACTCCCCAGATTTTGCCCCACCCCTGGAGCTCCTCCTTCAAAGTCCCCTGAGCTTAAGGAGAATCTGCAAAGAGAGACCATGCTCGGTTGTATCCATGGGCCTGAAATACCCAGGATGAAGTCCCCCCCCCTGCCGCTCACTCGGGTACTGGGCACTTCCAGAATGCCCTGAGCTATCTCCTCCTGCCAGGGAGCCTCTTAGGGCAAGACAGGACACTGTGTGAGTCAGGCCATCGATGGGAGAATCCTTGCTAACTAGGAGCACTAGGACTTCCCCCAAAGAGGGCTCCCTGGGACATCAGTTCCCAACTCCTTAACCTCAAAACCCTTTGAATTATTTCCCCATCTCTCCACATCCTCAAAGATTCTGCCTCTGCAAAGCAAATAAAAAGACTTTGAGAATCCATGATCTCTTTTCCCCACTGGTGCTAATCAGAGCCACAAATCAGAGATGGCTCTGATGAATAAGAAAGAATGAGGTGACTCCATATCAGACCTGTCCAAAGCAAGAGATTACCCCGTGCTGCCTCTGTAGTCTCCCAGGACAGAATGGAACAAAACGCTGGGACATGGAGGCAAGACAGCCCATCTCACGAACACCTGTGTCCCATGTTCACAGCCTTCCCTTTGCTCTCAGGTCCTGGCCTTCCCCTGAGTTCTACAAGAGAGAACCTGCCTATTGATGTTTACTCAGTGCTACTGTCAGAAAACACAAGGCTACGGGAAGAGCTGGAAAAGAACCGCCACCAGACGGGCCCCATCATTCTACAGCAGCAGGCCCTGCCGGTAAGAGCCACCAGTACAGGCTTGGCCATGACCCACTTGCGCCAGTCACCAGGTGTCCGGTAGTCACCCACAGCACTGTCACAAGTTGATGATTAAGACCAGGAGGCTAGGCTTCCCACTTTGCGCATGATCCTGGCATATTCTGGAACGTGAGCTCTCAGGCCTTGCTCTTTTTTCTCCTGGGAATGCATGTATCTGAAAACTTCTACCATACCTACATCCTGGGAGAAAGCAAGCCCCTGACCGATCCCTAACTCCTTTTGCGACATGGCTTGCTTCCACTGATCCCAGTATTTCCTGGGATTGGTGCAACCTTGGAGAGTCCTTTTCCCCATCCCAGGTGGATCCTGGGGAGTTGGGAGCAGGTGGAAACTTGGCAGAGAGGCTGCGAGAGACAGATGGCCCAGGCCACTCCAAGTGCACAGAGACCTTGCCCGCACAGGTGGGTGTCCCAGGGCCTAGAGATGCCTAGTCCCCCTCCACTTCCCAGGTGGTTCCAGGTGTTCCCCACTGAAAATGGAATTATAGTCAGGGTGGGGTGCACACAGGAGAGTGATTCTCTTCATCCCAGGACTTGCAGGAGGTGAGTTCTATTTGGGAACCCTGATGCACAGACATTCAGGTAAAGTGTGGGGGTTGGGGAGCCCTCCCTTCACAGATGTTTTCCCCCTATCAAAAGATTCCCTGCTGAACTGTCTTCTGTGCATTCATGGGAGCCGCTTGATTCATTTCACACTTGAAAATTGATGCGTAATAACTTCAGATGCCCCAAATCATGGAAGAAATAGCTATGACAAAAAGCACACACCCAGCCTATGCTGAACTTCAGGAGGAGGGTTGGGTCCAGGGGCCCACGTCTGAGGCTCTGTGTGGGGAGCTGGTTGGAACTCAAACCTGGCTGGATTCTCCTTCAGTGCCTTGCTGCTTCCTGAGCTCACCTCACAAGCTGGGGCCTTGATGAGTTTTCTGCTTTGCCCATAGGATCTTCTTGCCAGTAATTCAGATAAATTTAATCTCCTGGCTAAGCTGGAACGGGCTCAGAGCCGGATCTTGTCCCTGGAAAGCCAGGTGGGTGAGGTGCAGGGGTTGATGAGGCTACACAGGCTCTCTGATCAGTGTGTGGCCAGGATGAGTGCTCAGTGTGTGGCCAGGATCTAGGGTCAGTATATGACCAGCATCAGAGCCCAGTGTGCAGCCATGGTCAGAGTGAAGGCCCAGTGTGAACCCCAAGTCAGGACTCACTCAGTATGTTGTTGGGATACAGAGAAGGTATCTGTCCCTCTCGCTGTCCCTTCTACCCCTGAAGTCTCTTTCCCAGAACTTGGCTTTCTGCTCAGAGAAAATGCTCGGGGTCTGGCTGTCCTGGGTCTCAAGGATAGGCCCTACTGCCCACTGGTTCTCCAGCTGCGCTCTTCATGTCTGCAGTTAGAGGACTCAGCTCGACGCTGGGGGCGAGAAAAACAGGACTTGGCCACACGGCTACAGGAGCAAGAACACGGCTTTGGGCCCCCCTCAGAACCTATCATCGTAAACCAGCCTGTAAGTGACCCCTTCAGAGGAGCTTGTGGGGGCTCAAGTGTAGACCAGCTCCTGGGCTGAGCGTCAGAAGTCCTGGGCTAAAGTTCCTGCTCTGTTCCCAACAGAAGCCCTTGTGTGGCCTCAGTTTCCCCATCTGTCTAGGGGAATAGAAACCCCAGCCAAAACTACCCCTTCCCCAACAGATTGTTGTGAAATTCAAGGAGGAGATGACTAGGGATAAGGAGCAGCCCATGTGGGCATTTCTGCAATATCCTGGCACTGCCAGTACTCTAGGACTGTTTTGTTTTGTTTTTGTGGTACCAGGGATTTAGCCCAAGGGCACTTTATCACTGAACTACATTCTCAGCCCTTTTTAAAGTTTTATTTTGAGATGGGAGTCTCGCTAAGTTGCTGAGGCTGGCCTCAAACTTATGATCCTCCTGCTTCAGCCTCCTGAGTCACTGAGATTACAGGCTGTGTCCCCATACCTGGTTGTCTAGGACTGGTTTTGCTCATGGACAGAGTACCTTGTACCCCTACACCCACCCAATTCCCAGTCCCAAGGTTCTTCCTCCCATCAGCCACCCTTTTGGAGTAATCATAATGCTGCTGTAGGCTCCCAAGGCCTACTCACAGATGTCCCTCAAGCTTAGCTCTAGGGACACTGGCCCCCAAAACCAAGATCCTGATTTCTTCTGCTCTTGAACCATATGTTCTTTGCTCCTGGCTGAGGCTCCACAGCTCCTGAGAAGGACCTGAGAATGGGACTGACAGGGAACACAGGGCCACCTTTGAAACTCACCTGAGCCCTGCAGACTTAGGTGTTCCATGCTGTGATCAAATGGGTCTAGAAATCTTTGGGAAGTCACAGCCCACTGGGTTTTGGATCCTTGCCTTATCAGGCAAGATGCCCTAGAACAGATTACCCCTGGGGATAGAAGTATACTCACTGGACGTGCTTTGCCTACCACAGAATGGCTCAACCAACTCCAGGGATCTCAGGTGGCCCTCTAAGCTGGAGACTGCACAGCCCAACCAAGACAAGCAGCTCAACAGGCCCTCGAACCACCAGAATATCTCCAACTCCCAGCAGGCCTGAGCCTTCCCGCATGCTGAGGAGTCTCACCCCACCCCTCAAAGATGACTTTATTAAATGTTGTACCTCAGTGAGCTTTCGCCTCTTTCCTGAAGCAAGGTAGCCTGGGGCCTCCACTTCTTCCTCCCAGACCCCACTCTGGCCCTAAGCCCTCCCTCTGCAGCAGCCATATAACCTCCAGCCTGATGTAGGAGCTGGCATCTTCAGAAAGCCAAAGGCCATAATGAACCCCGGAGGGTGGTGAGAAGAAACACCAGGGAGGTAGGACCCTCCTGAACTGCCAGAGGAAGTGAGGCCACTGGAAACCAGCTCTGTTTGCAGACAAGAGGAAGACAGGGACTTCCCACCTGCCCAAGTATCTATTCTGTCAGAAATCCCTTTTTTTTTTTTCTTTTTTTGAGTTTGGTTCATCAGATGCTTAGGGAAGGGGAAAAACTTGAAGTCCTCCTGTCAACTAGGGCGAGACTGAGCTGGCTAGATTATGTCCAAATGCAGCCAGAGATGGGAAAGCATACAGGACTCAGGAAGGAGTCCTCATAGAGTCAACAGGCCCAGGTTCTGGCCACAAGCATTTTGGATAATCTTGGATGACTTGAACCTCTCAGAACTTCAGTTTCTTCATCTATCTCAGGCAGATCTGGACATCTTTGGTGGTGAGGCCATTTCCAGCACTGACATTTTTATGAGTTAAATATGACTCCAGCCCAGAGAAGAGAAAGGAATCAGGAAGGAGACAAATAGCCAAGAGGGAAGAGGTGGGAAAGACAAAAAGACTATAAGTGTGGACCCAAAAGTACAGTTTATTGTCTACCTGAGGTGGGTCAAGAAGGGGAGGAGGTGGGGTAGAGAGGAGGGGCTCAACTGAGCAGGAGCAGTGGACCACTGGGACCCAAAGCCACCTGTCTGAAAGGAGCAGGGTGGGAACAGAGGACTAGAGATGCAGACACCCTGTACCCGCCACCGGGCCATCCCACTGCATGACTGCTGGCCTGGTTGGTGGGAGGGCAGTTCCACCTTGATCATCCCAGAACTGGGTTCTGTTTGAAGGGCAAGAAGGTGAATAAGATGGGCTTCTCAGGCATCAAGATGAGGTTGAACTTGGTACCCACATCGCTGAGATGTTGGATTTTAATTTTGAAGTTCTCCAGCACCTGAGAAAGGGAGCAGTGGGCTTAGGGGAAGGGGGGGGTTCTGTCTCCCCTGGGCCCAGCTTGTTCACCTGCCAGCAGGGCCTTTGAGTGTGATTGAGGCACTCTAAGAGTGGACAACCAGCTCCACATTTAACCCCGCACTGTGTCCAAAATGAACCACTGGTGCTGATCCCTGGATTTAGACCTTGACTAGTTGACAATATTCCCTCTCTTGTTCCCACCCCCATCACATCACCTGAGGGGAAATAGATGGCCAGGGGACACTGGTAGGTGATAAATGGGTTAGCTCAAAAGAGGAGGCCAAAGGGAATTGTGGGAAACAGATGTGCCCCAGCTGTATGATCTCTGGACTCTGTGCAGAGATGAGAAGAGTAGGGCTGGTGACTACCTGAGGGCCAGGGCTAGCCCAGGGACCCAGATATCCTCAAGCTCAACTCACGTGAATGAGGAATATAGTCATCTCCAGCTCTGCAATCCGGCGGCCCAGACACTGCCGAATACCCCAGCCAAAGCCAAGGTACCGGAAGTAGGTGTTGTTCTTGTCATTGTCCAGCCATCGGTTTGGGTTGAAATTGCCAGGGTTGGTGAAGAAGCTGGATTCTTGGCCCATAGCATAATTGGCCACCTGAACCAGTGTCTGGGGATGAGGTGGTCGGAGGCCTGAGTGGGTCTCACCTTCCCACAGTCCTGAGCACAACACCCAGCTTCCCCAAGTCCCTGAGCTCCATCCTCTCCATCCCCCCTCTCAATCCCCGCAGGGCTTCCCAGCTCACCCAGGGCAGAAATTCTGCCCATGTGTATGACCTTAACCAAGGCCCAGCCCCTCCCTGAACTTCATCCACCAAATGAGGACAGCTAAAAACTCAAGGCTAAGATAACCCAGAGAATTTTCCTGCCCTTTCCCCAGCCCCAGTGCTTTCCACCGACCCAGGCAGACTGAGGTCTATCTCCTAACCCTGAACTCCAGAACATTTCAGTAATCATTCCCCATGGTGCCTAACACCTCTGTTCTTCATTCAAACTTGGACTGTTGCTGCTGAGAGCTCTGCAGGACCCCAGGGCAAGGCAGAAAGGCAGGACAAAAGCCCCCAGTCACTACTATCTGTCTGGAATTGCAGCCTGACCCCAGCCTCCTCTGTCTGACTAGCAGAGCCGGTAACTCCCTGGTTGTACCTACCTTGGCAGGAATTATGTAGCCACGAAGAACCAAGTCATTCTCAAGATACCTCTGCACAGTCACAGAGATGGGGTGGAGTCTGTGAGGAAGAGGACACTCAGAACGGATGGCCACAAAACCTGGACACGGGTCATCCCCACCCCGATTTCTGCATCAGCATGGCATCTCAGACCCAGATGCAGCTCCCAGGGCATCTGAGACAGGACTCAGGTCCTGTCAGGGCTGGTGACTACCTGAGGGCCAGGGATAGCCCAGGGTACCCAGATGTCCCCAAGCTCAACTCACATTATCTCCTCCCCATTCCCAGCCTCTCACCTCCTACTTCTAATTGCCTCTCCCACCCCATCCTTGGAAGCCTTTTCCCAAGCCCTGCTCCAGCCCTGCCCAGGAGTGGGGTGGGGGTGGTAGGAGTGGACATGGGCTTACCTCAGTGTCTCCTTGATACTGGCTTTGAGGAGTGGGACCAACTGCAGCATTGTGTTTATGTCTCCCTGGGCCTGGCGCCGGGCAGCCAGAACCTCTGCCCTCAGCATCTCCTGCACTTTTGGGGTGCGTGCCATCTCGTACATGTGCCACTGCAGGGTCATGGATGTCTGGCAGGGAATGTGGGGGTGCAGAAGACCAGAGGGCCTGTCACTCCAAGGCATCTCAAGGTAGAGGACCCAAGCTAAATTATCGTTTATAAGAACCTCTCCCCCGATAACTACCTCGTCCCAGTCTCCACGCCACCTGCAAAAGTGGAGGGCCACAAAAGTGGATGGCCCAACAATTTGAAAGGTAAATATCTAAGAAGGCCTTCTTGCCACCCAGGCAGGAATGTTTGGGGCAGCACTTGTCCTTGCCCTCATCCCTCATGTCACCCATCGTCTCCCCAGCCAGAAGAGTGTCAGCTGTACTACTGATGTCTTTCTGCACAGAAATCTGGGGGCCTCTAGAAGCCAAATCCTACCTCCAAAAGTGTTGTGCTCCCAAATGACTGCAATTCCTGTTCACATGCCCCGTGGCACAACCACCCCTCCCCAGCCTACAGCAGCAGAGTTTCAAGTAAGGCTCAAAGTCAGACCTCAGACCCACACTCAGAGTTGTAATTAGCGTGTGGAACAAATGGAGATTAACCAGTTAATTTCAACATAAACTAGAGAAGAGTGAACATTGATCTTCAAACCCCACAGTCCCAGATTCCTCTATGATGACAAACTAAGCCCAGTTAGGATCCCAGCCTTGAACATCCTCCCTCCTGTGACTAGAACTTGGATTGTTGGTGTAGGATCTTACCAAGGATCAAGTTTCTGTCCACAAGGCTTGGAGACCTTTCTCTTCTCAGCAGGGACCACATTGGAAAAAGTGGCACTCAGTGCCTTCTTGGCCTTAAATCCTGGTATAGTTCCCTGGAGCCTCCAGGAGAAGTACAGAGGCTCCGGCCTGACCCACGTGGCCCCTTCAACACCTACCTGCTCTCCTCTAGCGCCACCACCACCACCCCGCTCTCATACACACCTGGCCCTCCAGCCACACAGAATTGCACACAGCTCCTGAAGCCCAGAAATCTCCCCCAAGCTAGTTCCTCTTACTGGAATTCCCTTCCCCACCCAAGAAGCAAGTGTCCACTCCTTCAAGACCCCAACCACACGTGTGGGGGGTTTGTCTCTGGACCTCCATGGCCTGCCACAGAGTGGGTGGGTACTTGGAAGATTCTTGGCTGATAAGGTAGTTAAATAAGTTAGTAGCTGTGTGACCTTGGTCAAGTTATTTAATCTCTCTATGCCCCAGTTTCCTCATCTAAAAAAGGAGGAGGAGAATAACATAGCTCATAGTGTCCCTTGCTAGTATTAAAGGAGGGAATGTGTGTAAAAGTTTGGGACACTGCCTGCCAGATAATATGTGCTTCATAAATGGTTCCTCATCTTTGGTGCAGATTTTCACCTTTTGGAGATTTCCTCTACATCACCCACAATGAACTATTTTTCAAATGCACGCCAAGTCTCCATCTACAGCCTGTCATAGGTACCAAAACTTCTCCACCGGAGTATCATATAAAAATAATAACTAAGAAAGAAAGTTATTAACCCATGGGACTTTGACACATGCCCCTTGCTAGTCCTGAAATGAAATTCCTTCTCTCTCTTCCTACAAGGGACTTCAAGATACAAGTTGAATTTTAGCTCCTCTCCCTGTCCTACAGGGATATGCCTCTGGCATCACGGCCCTGTAACATGGGTGACAGATATCTGATGGCATCTCTGCCTTTCTGCTATCAGCTGCACTGTGTGCCTCTAAAATTCACATTTCAGGACATGGTGGCTCCTGCATGTAATCCCAGAGACTCAGGAGGCTGAGCAAAAAGATCACAAGTTTGAGGCCAGTCTCATCAACTTAGGAAGACCTAGGCTCAAAATTTTTAAAAATTAAATTAAAAAATTAGGGATGTTGCTCAGTGGCAGAGCACCCGTGGGTTCAATCACCAGTACTGCAAAAAAATAAAATTCACATATCAATATCCTAACCTCTACACCATTGCACTTGAAGATAGGACCTTTAAAAAGGTAATAAGAATAGAAGATCATCCATGTGGGCCCTAGTCCATAATGTCTGGTGTCCTTCTAGGATGAGGAGGTTAGGACACAAACATGCACAAGAGGGAAGGTCAGGTGCAGACAGAGGGAAGAGACAGCCATCTTCGAGTCAAGGAGAAAGGCCAATGAATGGATCAATCCTACCTGCACCTTGATCTTGGACCTCCAGCCTCCAGAACTGAGAGAATCACCTTCCATTGAAATTATTGGGTTACAGTGTCCTGAGTAGATGAACATGGCCCTTACCTCAGCCATTTAAGAACCCTTGAGGGTGTGTTCATCTCTATAGTCTCAGTGCCTGTATCCCAATTAATAATCCATAACACCAAATCATTAACTCACTGTCCCATTAGCATAGGGGAGTTTAAGAAATTAGAAAAAGGGAAGGCGCACAGGACAGATAGGTTTTAACGTTGAGAAGAGAAGTTTCTAGCGTACTGTGCAGAAAGCAGGAGGGAGACCTCACAGTAGTTGCCTTTTAAGTATTGGGTGGTGGGGGGACCATGGGGTACTGAGGTGTGGAAGGGGAGGAGGGAAAACAACAAAGAGACCCTGGAGGGCAGAGCCCAGGGCAAATTCCTGTGCCCCTGCAAGCTTTCTGAGGTGTTTCCCTGGATCTAAGTGAGTTGTGTCCCCCATAGGCCTGGGCTTCCACAGAGCAGGACTCCAAATAAATCTTTTGCCTTTGAAGACTTATGCAGAAGCTGAGCCTTATCACCTACACCTGGTAATGCCTTCTCACAGGCACAGAAAAAAAGTGTCCAATCAGCATCAAACTCTGCCTGTGGGTAACCTGACTTTGACATCACCCTCCTAAGAAATGAGTGTTTAGAGATAGAGCCAGGAGAGGAAGGCATATCCCATATGCGGAGAACCCTTTGGGATAGCAGGACTTCAGACCACCACACCACTGGGAGGGAAGGTGCACATGGGCACAGGAACCAGGAGATGTGCCCACAGCCACTCACCGTGTCCACACCTCCTGCTAATAGCTCAGTAATGTTGGCTTGGATGTCCTGGAAGGGTAGCTTGTTACTTCCCAGGAGACTATACAGGATTCCAGGGTATTTGCTGAAGTTTCTTTTCTGTCTCGAGTCCCAGTAGAAGTTCTGTGTATATTTGTCAGCTGTGGAGCAGGGGAAAGAACCCAGATGGAGTGGGGAGGGTGATCTTCGGGAAAAGATAGAATCAAGGGCTGGGGATTCCGGATCCCAACAATCCACCTTTTGAAGGCTATCATTTTACTAAATACCTATACTAAGCTCTTTGTATCTGCTTGTTAATTTAATTCCTGGCCACAGCTCTATGGGGGATGAGACACCACCCCATTTTCACACAAAGAAATGGAGATTCAGAGAGGCAGTCACTTGTCCAAGATCGAGTGGGTGTAAGAGGCAGAGTTGGCGTTTAACTCCAGCCCACCCCAATCAGCCTTTTCTACCTGACCTTCTCCATTCTCTTCCACCCAAGTTCTGAATTCTTAAGACCCAGCACAGCTGGGACTCAGACACTGATCCTTAACCCTGCAGGGATCTTGAGCTCCTTTGAGGAAAACTATGAACATCTTTGCTTCTCTATCTCTAGAAAATTCTAATCTCCCCCAATAGCCAGCCTTGAGCCCACCATTTCCAGGGCTTCCAGGGCCTTCCTGATACCATGGCTACTCACCAGAGAATGGGTTTCCTACATGATAAGTGATGTCCATTGACAAAGCTCAGGACAAAGAAGCAACCCAAGGCCTGGGCCTTCCAACTGGATTGGTTTCTCCCAGCACTGAGCTCCCACCCCTTGAGGTAAACGAGGCTCTCCTGGCCCCCATGCCTGGATGTCCTGGGAATAGCCAAAGGAGCCCTCACCTTTATCAAAAATAGTGTCCCATGCGGCCGCATGGTCCCTCCAGGTCTTGGTTCTGAAGAGGCGAAACAGTTCTGGGGGTAGGCTGAGCATGGGCACACTGGTGTGGAACATCTGATAGATGGCATCGATGAACTTCTGGGCCTCGGGGTCCACAATCTCCTCCAGCATCCCCAGGCGCTCCCCAAATATGATGTTGGTGATGGCTGCCAGGAGAGGATGAGGCTGAGGGGCCTCTTCCAGCCCGGCCATCCGAGAGCCTCTGCCTCTGCCTCCACCACACACACACACAGGAGCCCTTGACTCAGCCTCAACTTCTCCATTCTCTTATAAAGGAACCCAGGCCTGAGCCCCAAAGGGATAAGAACACAGGATGGAAAAAAGCTGCCCTTCTGACAACTGCTCGGGTCCCTCAGAAGGGCATATGGAAACCCCTGAAAAGAGATGTCTAGATGGAAAGCAGGGTCTCCAGCTGTGCCAAGGAAGGCCCCATGCTGGGATGAACCTGCTCGGCCCACCCCTCCTCCAAGAGGGAGTTCTCATTGCAATTGATGACTTGGCTACATTCACAGGTCAGACAGGAGAATGGGGACATAAATCCCTGGGTAATCAGCCACCCAGAACCCAAGAGGCTACAACCACCTCAAGTTCTTCTCACCTACCAGGTGAGGAATTTGAATGTTGATTCTATACCAAGTTCATGATTGAAAGCTGATTTTATACCCAGATCTCCTGCAGTGACCCCATGATCTCCACATGCAAGTGTTGTCCCCTCTGCCACTGCCAACCAGGAGCAAGTCTCTTACACTCAAAGGCAAAGCGGAACAGGTCATCACTGATGTCTCCTGAGAAATTCCCAGATTTCTGCTGCTTGACACGCTTGTTCAGGACACCAATGAAGTCTTGAGCCACCGCCTCCAGCATGGGTACGAAGTTCTTGAGGACCTCTGGAGCCATCATCTCCTGGTTCAGGATCACCCGGTTTTTCTTCCAGTCTTCTGACTTCCTGAGAAAACACAGGCCCCAAGCCCCATGGTCACAGTCCCCAAGCATGACAAACACAGAGGAGTCACTCGGCCTCCCCGGAGCTGAGCCAGAGTTGAGCATGTAGCACCCATGTGTCCTCACCTCCTCCCAACACCCTCGGCCTGTCACCTCCTCCCTGCTTTGCCTGGCCTAGGAGAGGAGAAAGGAAGGAAGAGGGTGATGGAGACCAAAACTCCAATCCCCTCCCACTCTCTCTGCAGCTGCCACTGCAAGCCAAAAGTTCTTATCCTCAGCACCTTTTAAGTGATTTTCAAGCTATCCAGTCCCTGTTACTGCAAGTCTGCCCATTCTACTGTACTGCCTCTCCTCTTGGCCCATGTTCACCTTTACTGTCAAGCCCATCCCCCATCACCTTTTCTTACTCCTATACAAATTGACCAAGCTCTCCCCTCTGTACCCAAAAAGTGGCTGCTATTCACTACAGTGGGGGTACACAGAATTAATCAAAAACCTGAGTTCAGCAGGACACAGTGGGGAATACCTACAATCCAGCTACTCAGGAGGCTGAGACAGGAGGATCTAAGTGTGAGGCCAGCCTGGGCAATTTAATGAGATCCTGTCTCAAATTTTAGAAAGAGCTGGGGGTGGAACTCAGTGGTAAAGCACTTGCCAGCATGTGCAAAGCCTTGGGTTTGATCCCACAAAAAACAAACACACAGTTCCTGAAGTACTCTTAAAAATCAGTCCACATGTAGCCCCCTTTGTAATTTGGGAGACATATTGTTTGTTGGATATATTATTATAAACTCATCACCCAACATAAAAACTAGGAACTTGACCATGGCTTGCTTTCACCCTTCTAGTTCTCCCAATGCCCTTCCTCCCCACCCAGGGACCACCAACTTGGACCCCTTAATCTCTTTTGTGTATGGTTTTATTCCATCATTGTTTGTTTGTTTGTTTGTTTGTTTTGGTACCAGGAATTGAACTCAGGGGCACTCGACCACTGAGCCACATCCTAAGCCCTATTTTGTATTTTATTTAGAGACAGGGTCTCACTGAGTTGCTTAGTTCCTCGCTGTTGCTGAGGCTGGCTTTGAACTTGTGATCCTCCTGCCTCATCCTCCTTAGCCTCTGGGATTACAGGCATGCACCACTGGGCCTGGCTCATCATTTGTTCTTAAAAGGTACTTTTTAAAAAATAATTTACTTCAATCAATCTTTTTTTATAGCTTTGTTTTTATTTATATATTTTTATGTGGTGCTGAGGATCGAACCCAGGCCTTGCACGTGCTAGGCGAGCACTCTACTGCTGAGCCACAACCCCAGCCCTTAAAAGGTACTTTTTAAAAATGTATACTTGTCTTCAAGTTCTTAAAAAAGCTATCATGCTTTCAGGGACTTGCTTTTTTCCACTGGAATGTGTGTGTGTGTGTATGTGTAATTTTTTTTTTTTTTTTTTGGTACCAGGGATTGAGCCCAGGGGTGCTTAACCACTGAGCCATATCCCCACCCCTTTTTGTATTTTATTTAGAGACAGGGTCTCATTGAGGCTGGCTTTGAACTCACAATCCACCTGCCTCAGCCTCTGGAACTGTTGGAATTACAGGCATGCACCACCACACCTGCTGGATTCTATATTTCCAAACAGCATCTACACCATTGTGGGACAAAGAGTCCATTTATTCTGACCAGTATGTACCACCACTTGCATATCCACTTTTCTGTTGGACATCTAGGTGGCTTCCTGATATTTGCTATTATGAACAGCATCTAAGCAAACATTCTAGCCCATGTTCCCTGGGTACATGTGTTGGGAGTGTATCCCTAAAATCAGAACTGTTTCATCATTGGTATGTGAATAGTCAATTTCAGAACTATTGACAATTCTAAAGTAGAGGCACCAGTTTACAGTCTGCCCAGCTAAGGATGAGAGTTCCAGTTACTTCATTCATAATCTCGCTAACACTTGATACAGTCAAGTTTAAATTTTTTTTTTTTTTTTTGGTACCCAGGGTTTGGTATTAGGGATGCTGTATCACTAATCTACATCCCCAGCCCTTTTTAAAAATTTGAGACAGGGTCTTACTGAGTTGTCCAGGTAGGCCTCCAACTTGCAACCGTCAGCCTCTTCAGACACTGGGATTACAGGTGTGCACCATCATGACCAGCTACATCTTCATTTTTTTAAATATTCATTTTATAGTTGCAGTTGGACACTATACCTTTGTTTTATTTATTTATTTTTATGTAGTGCTGAGGATGGAACCCAGGGCCTTGCACATGCCAGGCAAGCACTCTACCTCTGAGCTACAACCCCAGCCCCTACATTTTCATTATTGATGATAATTTGATGATAACACAGTAGCCACTACATTCAATTCACTGACTTACTGCTTCTCATTGCCCCTTTAGACTGTGCGGGAGTCACTGTGGAAGGACCCTGCACTCCCTGTCACTGTTCCTCCAGCACCTGGCACAAGGTCTAGTGCATAGTGGATGCTCAGTAAGTTGGGATTTAATGATTAAAACAATGAAGGAGAACTTCCCAGGGTCTTTAATTACTCATAAAGATCTTCAGCCTGGCATTTCCCTGGAGGTTGGCAGGGCAGTTCACTTTCTCTATCTTCACTGTCATGTATGTTATAAAGGCAAGAGGATGACAGGGTCTTGCCTAGAGGCCCTGCTTGGAAGGGCAGAGCAAACCTGATCCAGCCCGCCCGCTAGTATCTCCCTCCTCAGGGCTCCCCTATCACCCTGGAAATGGCTCAGGACTCACTTCAGTAGGACTCCCATGGGCCTCCGGTAATACTGATGATAGGCCACCCAGGGGGGGATAAGGAATCGTTCTGGGTTGGGACCCTCCGACTTAAAAATCAAGGCCGCATCTTCAGGGTCCATGATATAAACTGACTCCACGTTGCCGAGCTTCTCCCTGGAGGGGTGGGGAGAGGGGTGACATCAGGATCCAAGTAGAGCCATGGAGACCCTAAGCAATTAGGGCTCATTGCATGACTGCTGTAGGGTTCCACAGCTTTCTTACTGTGTGACCTGAGGCAAATCCCTTAACTTCTCTGAGTCTCAGTTTCCTTGTCTGTAAAGTGGAGACAGATATAGTACCTATCTCACAGAGTTCCTGAAGGACAAAATATGCAGGGTATTGATGTGACAGTTCACTGTGGTTACGCTTTCTATGAGAGAGAGCTTCGTGATCATGGTTGCTGTTGTCACATAGCACATCCCAGGACTAGCCCTGGCCCAACCTGGAGGCTTCCATGGATCAGCCAGTCTTCAGTCTTACACTTGTCCTTCCTGTGGCAACACCCTCAGCACCTCAGACTCTCAGAACCAAGGCACACTTTCATGTCCTTCTGGAAGGGCCTGCGACTCACTGTAGCCTGCCAGCCAGGCCAGAACCCATCGAGCCCAGTGACAAGAGAGGTCACAAAGCACTTTGCAGATAGACTCTACTAAAATGCAACCATTCCATGTGTTTGGCATCCTTATAAGAGGATGAAAAGGAGGACAGAGCTCAGAGGGACGACCATGTGAAGACAAGGGTAGAAGATGATGTCTAAAAGGCAAAGAGAGAGGCCCCCAGAGAAAGCAACCCTGCAGACACCTTGATCTCAAACTTCAGGCTCCAGAACTATGAGGCAGTAAAGTTCTTCTGTGTAAGAAAGAAAGGAGAAAAAAGCCCTACTACAAAACAACAGAAAATCCCACTCCCTGCTTGCATCTGCCTTTGCCTAAGAAAGGCTACTTGAAGATACAAATTTAAGGCAAAAACCTCACAAAAACATGCAGTTGCAAGCCAGATGTGCTGTCACTCCCCTCTCTCCTCTCCCTCTGTGTCTCCTGCCCACCTTGGAGAATACCTTGTTCACCACTAAGCCAGAAGGCCTGGCCCCACTGTCCCGAGTCTCAGCCTTGGCTTGTTCATGGCCAGAGAATCCCCTTGGTGTTTTCTGGCTACCAAGTGTCTTTTTAAGTATTAGCTCCATATCCCAAACCCAGATCGCCAAGTCCTTGATCTGCTCTCAGTGTTATCAATCCCACTCCCGGGAAGCTCGCCAAGGCAATGACCTGACATCAGAAACAAGCCTGCTGGGTCCAAGAGCCAAAGCTGGGAGTGGGCTAAATGTTCACCTTCAAAGGCTGGCTTAAAAATATGGCCTATCCATAAAGTGGACTACTGTGCTGCCCTTTAAAATTATTTAGAGAGAGAAGAGGAAAGAAACCTGGGATGCACCGTGGGGCACTGCCATACCCAGCACACTCATTCCTTGTGGTACCAGGATAAGACTGGATCTGATTTCCATCTTTCATTGGTGCATTTTCTCAACTGTTCAATAGAGAATAGGAACAGCCTTCACCGCATGGGGGAAAACCATGAAAGCTGTATTTCAAATTCCTCATGTTTATCAGGAGTCTGTTACTTCCCGGCTATGAGCTGTAGCATCATCCTGACACACAGACCTGGATGTCATACCATTTGGGTTCCAGTCCTGATTTTGTCCTGATGAATTGTGTGACCTTAGTAAGACCCTCCTCCTCCCTGGGCCTCAGTTTCCCCATAAAATGGGGCTAATAGCACAACTTTGAAGACATGTTGCAAGGCTCAGATGAAAGCAGATCAGAAGAGGGCTAATGAAATAAGGTACTCTGAGGGAGAAGGGGAGGTCTGAGAAATGAAACTGACCACATTATATTGTTTTACTGTGTGCCTGTGCAAATATGTAATGAATTCCACTATTATGTATAATTATAATGCACTAATAAAAAAGAAAACAATTAAATAAGGCCTTCCTACTTGAGGAAGTAGATAGTGGGGAAAGAAAGAGAGAGAAGGAAGCAGAGATAACAGGGGGGTACATGAGGTAAGGTTGGGTTGCAGGAACAGACAGGCCCAGGACAGAGAGGAAGAGAGGAAACACAGGAAGGAGCCACTTTCTCCCAAACAGCTGTAAGGTGGGGGGGGGGGGGGAAGCAATCTGGGCTTTGACAGGGTTGTGGGAGAGGGAGGTAGACAGCAGTAAGGTCCCAACACAAGCAAGCCCAACTCACACAGCCACCCCACCCCTCAAGCCCTCCAAGATGTCACATGTGCTCCTCCCCTGTTAGAATTCTTTGAGTTCAGGCTGGGGCTGGGGCTCAGTGGCACAGCGCTTGCCTGGCCTGTGTAAGGCTCTGGGTTCCATCCTCAGCACCACATAAAAATAAAACAAAGGTACTGTGTCCATCTACAATTAAAAAAAAAATACTTTAAAAAATAAATAAAATACAAAATAGGCTGGAGATGTGAATCCATAGTCAAGTGCCCTTGAGTTTGATCCCCTGTACACCACCCACCCCACCACATCAACCAAAAAATACTTCCAGGAGTAGCTTGAATGTCACTAACCTTATCCATCAGTAAGCCAGGGACAAGCCATATCCCTGGGGTCTAAGGTCAAAGGGTCAAAGGGCCGAAGCAGAAACGAGGCTTTCTTTTCCTTTCCCTTTGAAAGGAAAGAGACAGAAACAGCTGCTCTAGAGCCACGCAGGGCTGCAGGGTGCAGTTAGCACCCCGGCAGGATGGAGATCTAACTAGTGACCGGGCACACTGAGCCTCAGTGTCCTCCTCTGACCATGAGGACAACAAACTTCCCTCACAAGGCATCCTGGGGATAATGGTTATGGGAAGCATTAGGGGCCTTGCTCTCTTACCACCCAGCGGCCACCGTGAAGTTTCAAAGGGGAAAGGAGAGGCCTTCCCCACCACCATGCCTAGCCTGGAAGAAATAAAATCAGAAGGTAGGCAGAAGTCTGTAACTAAAAACAGACCATTTGGGGAGAGGGGAGCACAGCCAAGCTGCCTACGCCCCTGTACCTCTCTATGCCCCTGTACCTCCCTATCCTGTCTGCTTCTGCCCTTTGCTTACCTGTAAATGGGGCCATACTTCTGGAAATTCTGGACATGGTGATAGTGGATTCTGTAAGCACCGTTCTCCCTCCAGAAATGGTACAGGTTTAGCCAGCCATTATCACCAGGGGAAGGGATCTCACTGAAGGGACGAGGACTGCGGGTGGAGATACCAGCTATTCCAGTGGGTGCTCTGGGATGTCCCACACCCTCCCTGGCAGCGCTCAGGAATGCCTGGCAACCTTTAACCAGGACTGAATGCTGGAGAAGTCCCTTGGCCAGCATTCTGTCCACACAACTGCCACTCCACTGACTCCACTACAAGAGAACTTGCTGGGATAACTGTCGCTGGACCCTGGGGGAAAGCTTATAACTACTAGCTCAAGGCTGAGAGAGAAGCTGATAAAGCCAAGGGCCTCCCTCCTCCTGCAGCCAGCACATCCCACAAATAATCAGCCCCTCCCAGGGTGAAGCCTCAATCTGGAATTTCTGCAGCCAGCAAGGCTACCGCAATACAAGGATATCCTCAGGTGTCTGTTCTCAGGCCAGCCCTAGCAGGCTCTCAAGATACGTGCCTCCACTTTCCCCAGGGCCGAGGCCTCCTGCCAGCCTGTGGTGGGTCCAGGTGCTAGCAGACACCCACAGCCTGGGATTGGGGGCAAGAGGAGCCCAACAGGAGACTGAGTCACCTTGCCAATTTGGGGGCCACATACATCTTCCTTGTGGCCCACTATTTATATGTCTGATTATAAACTGTATGGTTAGCTGATTTTTAAAGTTCTATTTTTTTCTGTTTGCCAACCTCCCTGCAAAATACCCTTCTTCGTTTCTGAAAGTGTTATGATTGGCAAATGTTGCTATCATTATTATGAATATTATTTAATTATTTATGTTACCAGGGATGGAACCCAAGAGTGCTTAACCACTGAGCAACATCACCAGCCCCTTTTATTTTTTATTTTGAAACAGGGTCTCACTGAATTGCTGAAGCTGGCCTTGAACTTGCCAGCTTGCAAGTTCCTGCATCAGCTTCCTGAGCTGCTGGGAGTACAGGTGTGTACCACTGTGCCCAGCACTATTATTATTTTTTAAATTACAGTCATATCTGTTCATGTAGAACTCTGAAGGAAAAGATAAACATGAAAATTAAGATATTCTGAGTTGAACAAAAGAAGCCAGACACAAGAGTATTCGTTGTTGGATTCTGTTTTGACAAAGTTGAAGGATTAACAAAAATAATTTATGATATTAGAAGTGTGGGGTAATAATTCAGAGAGAGTGCAAGAGAACTTTCTGGAATTCTGGCATGTTCTTTTTTCAGCTGTATTCACATATGTCAAATTCACTAAGCCACACACTTGTGATTATTTCATTTTATTAAATATAAGTTATTTGATTAAAACAGTGAACAAGCCAGGCACAGTGATGCACGTCTGTAACCCCAACAACTTAGGAGGCTGAGGCAGAAGGATGGAAGGTTTAAGGTCAGCCTCAACAATATAATGAGACCCCCATCTCAAAATTAAGATAAAAGAGGATGGGGGTGTAGTTCAGTGGTTAAGCGCCCCTGGATTTAATCCTCAATACATCCTTCCTCCCCACCAAAAAGAGAGAGAGAGAGAGAGAGAGAGAAGTGCGGGGAGGGAAGAGTGATTGCAAGGAATTGGCTTATGCAATTGTGGGTCTGACTTAGCTCTGAAACATAGTCTGGAACCCTCAGGCACACCTGAAGCTGCTATCCACAGGTGGAATCTTCTCCTTCAGGGAAGCTTCTTATCTGCCTTTCAACTGAATTAGGTCACTCAGCTCGCCCAGGGTGATTTCCCTCACTTCAAATCAGCTGATTATGGACTTTAATCATATCTACCTTTGAAGCAACACCTAGATTAAGGTTTGATCAAATTTCTGGGGACTATAGCCTAGGCACGTTGACACATATTCTATCAGTACCACTGACTGTACATAAAACACTACATTAAACTGACTAGTGGTTCTACTGAACTTAGAAGACAGCAATCCTCCCTAATCCTGATGCCACTTCCTGGAGGGGCAAGGAAATCTCTTCCCCCAGAATCAACCACTACAAGTCCCTATCCATTTTTATTTCACCTTGGAAAACTCTTCTGGACATTTGCTTTCCTAATCCACACCCCTATGCTTGGCCCTGCTGTAGTCAGCCAAGGACCCCCCACACTGCCGTTTCATTAGCATCTTAGAAATTTCCAGAGATATGAAAAATTGAGCTCTATATATGTAATAATAATTGTAATGCATTCTGCTGTTATACATAAATAAAAATAAAAAAATAAATAAGCCAAAAAAAATTTCCTTTGTCTCACTCTGGTTTCTTGACCCATGTCTTTCCTGCCTGGTTGGAATGCATCCATCTTTCAGTACCTTCCTTAAAAACAGTGTAGGAAACGTACATTTTTGATTATTTGCTTACAAGTACAATGTCTTTTTTTAGTATTTATTTTTTAGTTGTACACAATACCTTTATTTTGTTTATTTATTTTTATGTGGTGCTGAGGATCAAACCCAGGGCTTCGCACGTGTTAGGCCTCGCACGTGTTAGGCCTCGCAGCTCTACCACTGAGCCACAACCCTAGTCCACATTACAATGTAACTTTATTCTGCCCTCACACTTAAGGTAAAGATTTTTGCTAGATATAGAATTGTAGGTTGCGCCTGGCATGGTGGCACACATATGTTATCCCAGGACTTGGGAGGCTGAGGCAGGAGGATTGCAATTTCAAAGCCAACCTCAGTAATTTAGCAAGACCCTAAGCAATTTAGCAAGATCCTGTCTCAAAATAAAAAGGGCTGGGGATGTGGCTCAGTGGTTAAACTCCCCTGGGTTCAATCCCTGGTATCAAAACAACAAGAACAATAACAAAAATGTAGGTTGGAAATAATTTCAATTTGTTAAAATTATTTTTGAAAGCATAACTCCATTGTCTTCTACTCTCTAGAACTACTATCTAGAAGTCCAAAGCTATTCCAATTCTTGAATCCTTGCATTTACCCCTTTTGTTCCCCACAGGTAAGCTCTTAGGATCTTCTTTTTCTTATTTTGGCTGCTCTAAAATTCACAGTGCCCTTGCCATATCAGTTCTTGGGCTGGACCTTCAGCAGGCTCTTTCAGTATGGAAATCTTGTATAATTTATTTCATCATTTCAGCACTCTATTTTCTCACTATTCCTGGAACTCCTATTCATACACAAACCTTCCTTTGTTTTCACCAAAATCCTTATAAGTATTTCCCTTAAATAAGGGGAAATTTGATGCTTCTGAACCATCTTATAGAAGTTGCATTGGTCTGTCCACTGAATGTGATGTATTCATTTAAATCCAAAATTCTGAGGTTCCACTATCAATTTGGATGGTTAGGCAGGGGCCAAACCATGTGAGGTAACAATCAAGTGTGGCCATCTGCAGCACTGGACATCTCTATTCCAGGCACTGGGCTGGGTGAGCAAGACCCAGGGCACATGTGGGTCTTGCCCTGGGGGGCGTCACATTCTTGGAGGCAGCAGGAAAGCTGTAAGCAGGAGCCAGCCTCAAAAGGATTCCAGCATTCAGAGAGAGGGATGAGGGAGCATCCATGGGCTGAGGCTCAGTGTCCCCTACAGGTGGGCTTGGGAGATGAGGCTTGTAGAAAAAGGTCAAAGGAGACATGCTAAATCAGGCACAGTGGCACATGCCTATAATCCAAACAGTTTAGGAGGCTGAGGCAGGAGGATAGCAAGTCCAAAGCCAGCCTCAGCAATTTAGTGAGACTCTGGGGAGCTAGGGATGTGGCTCAGTCGTAAAGGGGCTCCTGAGTTCAATCCCTGGTACCAAACAAAGAAGAAGAAGTGCTCAGAGAAGGCAGACACAACAACCAAGAGAGGGCTGGGAGAGGACCAAATCCTAAAAGAGAGCAAATAATTCATCCAGCACAAGTGCGCAAGAGGCCAGGATCTGAGGTGGTATCTGCATTTTCCATTCCTGTAAGTTTTGGTGCTTTAAGAAGAGCTAAATTAGGATGGGCGTGTGTAAGTCAGGAACAGCCACCCACAGCCTGCTGGCTGCATGCCAAATTCCCACCCTCTACTGCAGCATTTGAAGGACCATTTCCAGAGAGGAATAGAAGGGAATGGGAGGACACAGAACGCCAGGGTCTTTACCACATCTCCTCACCAAACCCACACGGTCAGCCACTGTTCCGCCTCTTACCAGCTGATACCTTCAGACATGGGCATGGCTTCTCTAAGAGTGACTGTCCACCTCTGTCAAACAAGCTACCTGACAGGGTTCCCATTCACCAGAGGACGTCATTTGTGAGGCCCAGAACCCACCTTTTGAACCATGAATCCTTGCGTGGCTTTCCCTTTGAGGAATGTGGCCATAGAGAAGGAGCAGGGACCTGATCGAACCTGGGTGGGGAAGACAGGTCAGGTCAGGGTGATTGTCACTTTCCTTCTTTTGGGCAAAACAAGGGAAATGTAGGCAGGAAGAAAATAGCAAGAGATAGGAAGCAGGAAAAGAGGGAGCAGGTGAGGCAGGCCTGAAGCTGGGGGAGGAGGGAAGAGGGATAAGACCCATGGGAACAGCAAGGAGACCAGCTCCAGAGAAAGTTCTTTCCAGGTAACACTCACTATGCCTGGCAATGATGAGCAGGCATGAGGAAGGGAGTGACTCCCAGAGGACTGTGTCCCCACCTGGGCCCCTGCCCTCCCCTCACTAGGTCTCTGTAAGAGTGTGCAGGACATGGCCTTGTCTGGCTGCCTGTAGCATGTCCCACAAGCTCCCTGTACTGCTGTCCTACCTGACGTACTGACCTGTGGCCCTAGACTTTCTCCAAAGCCCCTGCAACATACTGCCCACAGGGAGCAAACAGACTAGCAATTCAGTAGAAGTAGGGAGGCCTGGCTTCAGGAACAGGGAAAAGATCCTATTCCCTGCTTCTGCCCTGAAGGAGGGGGAACCATGTGATAGAAAGAGCAAACAGCAAACTTGGCCTTGGGCAAGCCCCATGGCCTCATCTATGTCAGGGAAATATATTGAGCACCTAACATGCGCAGAGCACTTGACATGCATTTCTTCTTCCCATCCACCTTAGCAGGTGGGCTCTAGTACTTTTGCTAGTTTACAGATAAGGCCAGGCAACTCGGGAGGCTGAGGCAGGATATAACTGCAAGTTGAAGGCCACCTTGGGCAACTTAGTGAGACCTATCTTAAAATAAAAAATAAAAAGGTCTGGAGCTGTAACTCAGTGGTAGAGCACCTCTGGGTTCAACCT